TGGAGTTGTTAAACCCAGCTTGGGAACAGCCCATAATTGCAGATGTAGGTGGCGCCTAAAATGCTCAGCAGCTGCTGCGAGATTCTTTCACTCAAACATACGTCAACTCCCAAGGTTTGTTTCTCCTCTAACGTTCTCTAGCCTTACTGTTTTATTCCAGATCCAAATCTGTAAATGCATTTGAAATATGTATTTGAACTAGCTGCCAATAGGCATACTTTAATATGTCTGTTTACACTGGCATGTTGAGATATTTTTTTGGGGGAGGGGTGTGGGGGCGAGTAGAGGGCATGGAGGACAGTGATGGCGCTGCTTGGGGAGCCACTCCTGGAGAGAGGCTTGAATTTCTATTTCCTTCCTCCCTCCGTTCACTTGCCATCTTAATCTTGCCCTGGATTATCCAACACTGGCTCCGCCATTCAGAAGACTGGTGTGGTCTCAGCGCGTGAAGAACCTGTGATGGTCCCTTTTTGCAGGAAAGTTTCCATTTCATCTGCGGGGATTAAGTCTGAACTTGGGTTGAAGAGGTAAATGGTATGTGCCAACCTGGTAGACCTCCCAGTCATATTAGGTGCATTTATTAGGGATACTGTATGGGTGACCTAAGGGAAAAGGTCTTCTAAATTGTGGGACAGTGCAGTGTTTGTTCCTGCATCAGACTGTACTATATGACTTGAGAGTGTTTGATGTGAACATTGAGTGCCTAAAAGCAATATTTATGTCCCTCATCTTAAGGAGCATATATCTTTAAGAAACGTGTGGTGCTCATTTCCACATGGAGTCACTGCTCTGAATCATTAGCAAGTTATATTGTTGGAATGATGAAGCTTAAACCCAGTCAGTTTTTTTTAAAGTGCCAGTGATCAGTGTTTCCGATCGGGCAAGTAAGGATTTTGCCAAAGGCTGTTCGGGGGATGTAGGAAGAACGTGTCTGGGAGTACACTCTCTGCATTCCTAATGTGCATCTCTAGCAGGTTAATCCAGAGTGCTATCAATGCTGTGAATGGTGAAGTTTGACCTGGCCATGGAAAATATTCCCTGCTTGAATGATTAAATAGCTAAAATATTCTTACTGAAGCCTGGAGTTGAATCTGAGCCAACTAAGGTTGTGACGTGTATCAAGCTGCAGAGTGTATGGGAAAGGCCAGTTGTTTTGTGCAGTTTGCATTTCTTTGAGGGCATTGTTGTGGCACCGCTGGGAATAGTTAGATGCAAAGTGGATTTTTTGAGTTTAGGTAAATGGGAATTTAAAGGGTGTGTTCCTTTGGAGAAAAGTGCTTAAAGTTACTCAGGAAATACCACGCAGACATCAGTCAATACCTGTGATAGGAAGTTTTATCTATATACAAGGAACCATGAATTATGTGTGGTTTGGCAAATCCACAGGGTGCACAGAGCAGAAAATAACATCCATCTTTTAGGATCTTGCTCTTTGGACTGAAAAAAATCTTTTAAGTTTTGAAGCGATTTGGAGTTCAGCTTTTAAAATATTTTTTTTCTTCTCCTTTCTACACTAGTTATTTGAAACCCCAGCAGACAAATTTTCCATTTTAGGAACAGCGTTATATGATTTGGAAGAAACTTATTCCGAATAATGCTCTAAAGCTGAGTCTGCTTGTCATGCACTGTCATGCTGTCCTTCAGAAATTGTCTTAAATTGTAATCTTGTTTAGGATTTGGAGACCTTGCAGACTGATCTTTCAAGAGAATGAACTTGTTCACAGAGAGTACCTTAAAATTCATTTTAATGGATAAGCCACTGCCTTGAAGCTAAAATGGTAGAGTTTAGATCTTTCTGTTTTTCTATCAAAGAATGTGGTGGGTGTTTGAGAGATGTAATCCGAGTATTTACTCCCCCAGAGACTTTGACATGATCTTTTTGTTTGTTCTTTAATATGAAATGCGACAGCAATTTATTGTCCTCCCTAAAATGGTAAACTTTCCAACAGCATTTATTTTCAGCTGTACCCATTGCAGCTTTGCTTGCAACCGAAGGATACGATATGAAATGTAGATTGACACAGAGAGACAGACATTTCATATTTATCTATACTCGTCTGGGAAGACTCCTTTTGGGGGGTCTCAGTGGGAAGACTCGGCGCTTTAAAATGTAATTTTGTTGTTGCCATGGCTTGGCTACGTGCGTGCTCTGTGATGCAGGGTGCCACAGCAACACTGATTCGGCGGCCACCAGGTAGGTGTAACTGCAGCGTAATAAAACGCAAACCTGAAAGTAACTCGTGAACAATAGGAGATACCTGAAGACAAATATGCCCATGTCACTCCTAGTTGCATGACCTTTCCGATGAGGTATAAATCATACCTATATGGTCGGTTATTGTGATCCTTATTGAAGTGCCGACAGACGTCTTATTAGTATAGACGTTTTATTACTATATAGTATATAGTATTAGTATATTCGGAATTAGTATAGATAGATAGATTGTATACACACACATACACATTATACAAACTAAATGTTCCCGTGACAAGTGTAGGTAGAATAGCAATGCTCAGGAGTGTTATTTTTAGTTTGACACGCTGTCCAGTTTGGAAACCATCAATACTTTCTGTGAGTCTAATTGGTGCATCATTTAAACACTGACTTGTGGACATGTGGCTCAGTCACTCACTGACTGGAGTATGCCAAGTGAAAAATTATCATTGAAGGCTGCACACATAAACAGTAGAATCAGAAACTAGCCAGAGTTGGTGCTTCTTAACAAACCATCTTCCAATCCGCCGTACTAACCTGAACACTGGCACTTACAGATGTGGCACTTGGTCCAGGGCATTGGTGATGACTGGCTTAGCAGCAGGACTTGGAGGGGCAGAGGTTCTCCTAAGCTCAAGCTGGCTCTTTGGGCTATGCTGTCTTTCCTGAGCTTATTTGCAGACTGGCTTAGTTGGTAGCGCTCTCGCCTCTCGAGTCAGAAGGTTCTCACAACAGAACTTTTAAATTCATAGTCTCGGCTGACACTCCCAATGCGGTTCCAGGTTCCGCTGCCTGTACAGATGGGCGTTAAAGATCCCATGCCATTATTCAAAAAGAGAAGGGAGTTTCTCCTGGTATCCTGGCCAACAATCATCAAGATAAAATGAGTAATTCACTTCATGGCTATGTTTCTGGGACATTGCTGTGTCTAAATTGGCTGCTGCATTTGCCTACAAATACAGTTTACCACAGTGAAAATTCTATGAATCCCTTTGAGACATTTTGATGACTTGATAAGACGCTGGATCCAAGGATTATTGTTTGAAGTTGTGCTGAAGGCACTGGGCTTGGAATTAGCTTACTGAGCTGGAAGAGGAAAATGATCAGCCAGGGTCCTCTTTTAATTGTTACCGAGAGCTTCCTGCTGGAAAGAACACCTCTGTAAATATTGGATAAAGGCTAGGCGCAGGTGTGATATTCTCCACGCCATTAAATGGTCAACTAATGTTCATTGTCTGGGCTCACAAATGAACCATGACCACTTAGGCAAAATACTGGAAAACTGCCAGTGCTCGAGAACCACAGTATCTATCTTCAGAAGAAGAGGAGAGAAACTTGAGGGGAGAAAGAATCAGAGCTTTGTAAAATGTTCTTTAACTTATTGTCCATGGTTTATGAAATATTTAGTCAGCATTGTAGCTACACTTGCAAATAAAATTCCTTTTTGTTTATACTTCCATTTAAGGAGTGGTGCGGTTGCTGAGCACTAACTAGAAAATAATCGACACCTACGTGATTGTAGGATGGAATCTCATCATGGGCTTTGACTAGTGTCATATATAGAACGAGTCAAGGCTGGAATTGTGAACTTGTTTTGTTTTTCAGAACTGGACTGTTTATTTTAAAAAGTGGTTGATTCTAATTTAGTTTTATAATCTCATAGACCTTTTCTTAAAAACGTGCTTTTTGGAGTTTTTTTTAGAATGCAAATATTTGAGAATTTTTTGATTAAATGAAAATATGATGCAGCTTTGCTCCATCATATCTGTTACATTTAGTTGCTGGTAATGCAACTACACTAGCTCTCCACTTCCTTTCTTGCAGAAGTCCATGGGAATCTGATGTTACCTGTGAGTGTTCAACTTTAATATTTTTAAAAAGTTGAAAGCGGGTAGCTTTGTTCTCTGTTCGTAGAAGTCAGTTATAGTAATACTGTAAGGCTAAGTGGTGTTCATATCTACATATGTTTGGTTGGTTGTATCTTGGTTCATATAAGATTTGGCCCTTGTTACCTTGTTCCCAGCCTCCTCATGGTTTCCACGGATGCAGGTTGCTTTCCTGGAGCACGTCCAAATTGCTGTTGTTCACGTGTGAGCCTTGGCAGTGAGTGCCAGCAGCCTCGACATTGGTGTACATTGAAATCCGAATTTCTTCCCCTGACTGCTTCTTACCCTGAGGAATAGAATGTTTAAAGCACATAACACTGAGTGCAAGCTGTTGGGTAACAAAATCATGTCAAGACGATGAGCTTTGTGCAGAATAAATTAAATTGGAAAGGGGCTTATTATTGAATGTGATTATTGGGGCTCCTTTAATAAAATACTACTGTGATGCAATCACACCTGTCTGCTTTCTGTACTCAGATGATGTGCTTACATTAAATGCAGAACAAAGTATGGAGAAATGTCTCATGGAATCACAGCACAATTAGTGGTCGTCTTGGTGTGTGTTTTTGGAGGAGGGTTGGAAGAAACTGAACCATTAATAATAATAATCCTTTCATTTGATATAGCGCCTTATCACGTCATTGAGATATCGTAAAGTGAATTAACTGTATATTCTGTGGGCGAAACATGATTTGTTTGGTTTAAAGTTATCACTTAAATAACTTCAAACAAATGCAATATTTCAAGCAATAATCTTCCATGTTATTCAAAACCAAACAAATGCAATTCTTTTCAATTTGATGATCAGCTTTGGCCAGTGTATAATGCAGGCTCCTGCATTTAAAAGTAAGGTCTATTCTTCCTATGTCATTTATTGTGTTTTTCTCTTGTTTTTGCAGATTACTGTCATTTCCAGCCGCACGTTGTTACAGAGGACAAATGATGGGATTGTGTTTGGTGTGATGTTAAAGTGAAACTGAGTTGCAGCAGTGTTTTTGTAGTTGCTGTTGTGTGATTGGCGCAGATTTCTTTTTATTTTTTGCTCCCTTCATTTTGGAGAATGGGAATGGAAACGTACATCTCCCACATGCTGCTCCAGCATGGACTAGGAAGGACTCTCTTGGTACTGGAGCTGTTGCTGGCCACAGTGCTTGCACACTGGCAGAATGAACCAGTGCAGATAGTCAGAGACTTGGACAGCCTGATTGAAGCCTCCATGCAGTCACCATTTGCACCCGCTGTGCCCTTCAGCATCCCGGACAGCTCTGCATACACCAGTCGGGTCTTTAGGATGAAAATCCCACCTGAAGCAGTAACTGCCAATTCTGTTCTCAAGGTAAAGTGATTCTTGAGCAAATGTGCTGGAGTGGGGATTGGAGGGAAGCATGTTCATGAATTTTCAATTGTTAATCATCGAAGTGCCTCATCTATTTCCTCTTTCGAGATGCTAACTTTCTAAAATTGTTTCAGAAACACTGAGTAATGTGAGGAAGTGCAATTTGTGTGCAGATAGAAACAAGTTATTAAAACAAGAACCATATGCTACTTTGCATGATTCCTGGCGATAGTTATCAATCTCACTGTACTATTTCGCAAAAGAGTGGGGAGTTCTTCTGGTACCCTGGCCAATATTCCTTACTGCTTCAAAATTGACTCCAAAACAATAAATTTACAGTGCAGTTACAGTTGGCACATTGCTGTTGCTAATTTACTGTTATTTTTTCCTATTGCCTGAGTAACTGTCGCTCAAGTTCTAAATAACTTGTGGAAAGTACTTTGAGGTATTAGACAACAGGAGCTGTATACTAGTTGAAGTATTTATGAGACACTCTTGCGGCCTCTCAATGCCCTTGTAAAGTAGTTACGATTCTGAAGTGGCCTTATACGATGCAGATGTCATATTTTTGACCTTTGACGCCTTTTTAAGTTGAGATAAAGCTGGGTAGCAGGAGTGTAATTTTGCGCAGGTAATATTGTGAAACCAAGGCAGTAAACCAGACGGTTTATGGTGCACACAGAAATGCTGCTCGGGATGTAGGGATTCCAAGAGAGGCGGAAAGCTGGCTATGTCAGATGAGCATTGGAGCAGGAGATTTTTAATTATGGAGGGAAGTGGAATGTATTAAGAATTTATCTCAAATTGTCACACATGTATTCTTTATATAACTGAATTTAGGCAGGATAATGGCTTAGAGTGTGGCTTTGTGAACCCCAAACATGTCTCATAATTTTCTGAATGTTAAGATACCGATGGTTAGAAGAGTCAAATACTGATAAACCGTATGGCCTGACCCTAATAAGTCATTTCTACCTAAAAGTATATGATTTAGTTTTCCCCAATAAAAAAAAGTCTGCATCGCCTAGATAGGGTAGAAGATAATTAACTATTATACTGTGAATGAGCCCTTATATTCCTGTGATAGTGCATGTAATGTACTCTCTAATCAAAGTGATATAATAATCCCTTTACATCATAAATCCTTGAAGTCCCAGATTAGTTACATTTTGCTCTGTGCAATTTATCAACCCAAAATCATGTACTACTCTCGATCTCCTTACCGTCCAAAAGAGTTGCATGAAATGTTATGCGGATAGTGTGGAGGAACTTTGGTGATTTCTCACCTTGCATTTTTTTAATTGTTCCAAACTTTCTTTCACCTGCTCTGTTTACCTACAAAATAATAATTCTTGCATTTGATATAGTGTGAGGACATCAGAGTGTTTCACAGGTTTGAGATGGCCTCCTGATATATCAAATTATTACTGTTTTCAGGCTGAAATAGCACCATGGCTGGGCTTCTGAATACAGGAACGTATGATCACTCAATCATGAATTTTTTTTGTTCTGAAAATACAAAATATGCAAAATTGTTATGAAAATGTAAAAATATCCGTTCTCAAGAGACTGCACATTGTCATTAACCATGGCGATGAGAACTACTGTTTTGATGGACATCTTGTCTGGTTTCTTCATCATAGTGCTTTAACCACTGAAGAAATCTTGTCTGCTAAATATATGATGGACCCACGGTCACTATTCTGTGTAATTAGCTACTCCATCTACAATTTAATATCTATGTAGAGCAGGAGAGAAAAATCAAACTATGGAGAGTAAGATGTACAAAAATAACTTTGAAAGACCTGTATTTGATACACTGCCTAATGCTGAAATATCTCAAAGCACTTAACAGTTAATTGCTGTCAAATGTAATGACTAAGGAAATGCAGGCAGCAGCCAATTTGTGCACAGCAGTGTCCCATAAACAGCCATGAAGTATATGACCAATTTATCTGGAGGAGTGTTTGCCGTGCCACCAGGAGAAGCTATGTTCTCTTTGAATAGTGCCATAGGATTGCTAACATCCAACTAAACAGGTAGTCAGGACCTCGCTTTTGTGGCTAATCTGAAGGAAGGCACCTCAATGCAACACTCCCCAGAGGTGCTTGTTTGCTTCACTGTTTTTGACATTAGAGTTATACCGGCTTAAAATTTATAATGGTCAGAATACTAAATTTGAATGACAATTTTATACAGGTTTTGAAGCCCTCTTGATCTAGAATCAAATCAATCCAGCAAAATTACTCTTCCTGCCAGCATTTCACAGGATGGCACCTTTCTCTGCCCCCACAAACACCGAATCTTCAATCTTATTTTGGTGTCGCAATTCACGCCTATGCTAGTGATAATAAACTGGAATTTCATTTCCTGTTGAAAAGCTGTCAGGATGCAGTGTTTTTTTTAAAATGGTTTAATTTTAAGCTGTTGGTGATGGTTCGAGCAGGTGTCTGACTGTTCAGTCTTCCTCAAGGGCTCTGAATCTGCTACGCTATATGATACTGTACAACAGCTGTTGGACAAAATGTAAAAGCTTAAAATATTCACAGTTGTTGCAGAGGATCTGCAACATTTCCATAACTCCGAACAATCATTGATAATTTCCCACATACTGCATCTAACACCAATTCTAAGGGGTACTAACACATCCAAGCAGCTTACCTCAAGAATTTGGAGAATTTCTGTTAATCTGCAATATAAAAGGCGAGTTAGGAATGACTAGCAACATGATATTTTTTGCCCCTCCTCACTTAACGTCATTGATTTATGCCGGTCTTGGCCTGTGGGCTTCACCTGTCGTTTGATAGGCACTTAATTAACTGTTTTTCACATGGAGTTTGGACAGTGAGTTGCTACTGATTGATTGTACATTGTCTGTCTCAATCCATCAGAGGGCCCCAGATAATAGTCCCTCCTTGGGGATATTTCAGTATATCCCAGTATGTGAATTGTGTGTAGGGGGGAGAAAAAGAAGCGAGGGCTGGAAGTTCCTGGTAGGAAGTTGCAGTGTAGCAGGTGCAGCCCTTTTCCAATGCTCTGATGGCAGGAAATGGTTCCTGTAGCATTTCAGGCTACGACCTCCTCGCAAGAGTGAAAGCGGCGTGGACTTTTACTGACTTAAATGGGCAATACAGTGTCTTGATGTACAGTTTCTAAAAGTTTCCTGTTTGTGTATTGAAGGAATTTGTCAAGGTCTTGCCAGTGTAAGATGTGTTTCATGCCCTGAGGCTATATAAAGAGTTTCATGGATCAGTGCAAAATCATTGAACCAGACCAAGTATTTAAGGACAAACTAAGGACAAAAGTTGCAATGATCAAGTATGACAATCTTTGAAACAGTGCTTCCTCTCAGAAATGTTAAAATACATGTGTATGGTGATAGCTCTATCGGGGCTAGAAGACCTCCCTGTTCATGAAAAAATATTCTTGTTTCCAGTATTTTTCTCATTTGTTGAAGCTGGTGTCTTGTTGTAGGTTACGGTTCTGAGAGTCGAGCTGTCTTATTTTTGCCAAGTGGTCAGCTTGCACTTTTTTTTCCAGGCGATTTGACTGTAAGAATATCACAGCTAAGCACAATCCTAGCGCTAGGTTCCTCTGGCTAGGTTCCCACAAATATTCATAGTTTCCAGACAGGATCATTAAATGTTGCTGAAAACAGAACCTTGGCTATGTGGAGCATTTAAGTGAATCATGCACTAATCTAAGTATGTTAAAATGTGCTGCTCCCATTTTTTTAATATCAAAATGACACCTTGAAAGGGAGGGTTTTAACCACAACAAGACTTGGATTCCAGCTAAGTTATTGCTGTCTTTGCCTAAAATCACATGCCAGATACTCATTGAGCCCGTTTCGAAATGCTGCTTACTTACAGAATGAAAGTTTTAAATTTGTTGGGATTTCCGATCCCGAGGTTCGAATAATGACCCGACAATACAATTAAGTGTAATAGATTTATTAATCAAAGTAACACATACAAATCAGTAAAATAATACTGCTACTACAAGTAACAAAACTTATACTACCAGTTTTGGAGCAGTCAGTCAGTTGCGATGGTTTCAGCGCACCTTCTCTCCAATGGTTCAGCTGCCCTCTTTGTCCGGCTGGATCTGCTGCCTCACTTGCATAAAGTCAGAATAGTTACACTTTTTCCATCTTGGGATCTTCCACCCTTGTTCTTCAATCAAGCATCTTAGCACATACCCAACGTACTCGACCTTTGCATATCCTTTTAGATAAGCAGACCCTTTTGAGACAAAGCAGCTTGTTCATTATTCTTCAATACACGCCATCTTACTTTGGCCTTCCAAGGCCGGGGCCTGTCTCTGTCTGTTTTACGTCTTCCCTCTCCATCACAACTGACTGACCATTGACCTTTTAGAACCAGGATGGCTTATTCTGCGAATTCCTAAAATGAGTTTAGGGAAACAGTTTCTGATTATGACTAACAGTTTCTTTCTCCCGCTGTTTCTGAAATGCTATACCCTGTCCAGCGCCTTGGGACGTCCTCCTGACATGAAAGACGCTATATAAATGTAACCTTTTGTTGTTGCTTGCTACCGCCATGCATATATGGGTATTGATATACATGTATATTCACTATTAATTCTTTTCTACTCTTACAAATTATATTAAAATCAACCTTTTCTAACAAATTGTAGTGCATGCATTAATCAAATAGAGCTGACCTGAGAGGAGATGAAAGGAACAGTGCTACCAGACAACAAGGTGGGGGAGAATATAGTAAATAAATTTATGAATGTATTTTCTAAAACTAATAAGGGGGGAAATCCCAAAACTCAGCATAAAGCATTAAAACACCTGTCCTCGCCCTAACAGCCACACGTGAGCACTTTCTAAATGGATGCTAGTGAGAGAGCAAGAGATGCACAGTCTGAGTGAAGAGAGGAGAAAGGATATGAATGTATCATATAAACTTACATAAACCATATAGTTTTAATTTATAATATTTATAATATTAAGATTTTTCTAAATCTATTTT